ATTCCTGCTAAATAACATTTTTAAAAATATGAGAGATCTGCTCATGGAGCTCCCATTGTCTCCCTTGGCTTGGTCCTGGTTTCATAGATGGCCAATGATTTAGCCTGAGTTCTTAAGTCCAAACCCAACATTTTAGCTACTTGTGGAAATAATATTGAATACATGGGGTGGGGACGGGAGGAACTGCTAAAATGCTTCCTGTCTACTGAATGTGTTCCCATATTTTACTCCATTCCTAACAATAATTCAATAAGCCATAGTAGTTGAGGCACATCAAAGGCTTGGGTGGTGGTTCCACCCAGGCAAATTCCATCTGTTCCTTAATATTGTTGTGCATTGCAAACATTGAAGCATTTTCATTCTACATGCCAGAGATGGCTGCATTGCCACAAGAAATAGATGCATCCTGCTCATGTGGCTTTTGATATACTGTGCAATGCAGGTGAGACAGATACTCCTAGCTGGGAGACTGTTTATCCAGCAATTAGCAGCATCTATTAATAATTATTGTTATAATTTTATTCACCTCCACTTTATGTTTTGGTGGATTATTTAATATTGTATTTCCTATGCACAGGTCTATATTTTAAATTTGGATGTATCAATTTAGGAAGAGCAGGGTTGTGCTGATTTCAGTCTTTCCTGAAGGGCAGTTTCCATAAGCTGTTGCTAGTGGAACTCTATTTTTCCCTTGTCCATTGGCCAGTGGGATGCCATAAGATTCCACCATGTCCCCTAAATTATCCAATAGTTATGTGAAGCTTTTGGGAGAGATCATTCAGAGATTTGGGGCATGGTGCTATCTCTCCTTTCCAAGTAACTCCAGGGAGGTAGTACAAGTGCCAAATCAGAGAGTGAGGGTCTGGATAAGGAAACACAAATTGAACAAATTAAGATAAAACAGGTACTATGGTTTGGAAGTATGGCTGATGAAGAATAGGTGTTCATCCTATTATGGATGGGGTTACATTATTCTTAAAGGACAAGGAATGCAGTCCCTGGGTATTGGGAGTTGCCTCATTGTTTTTAGATACACAGCTTGCATTGTTGGGTGTGTCTTTCTGAGCTTTGGCTGGCATGACAGCTTTGGCTGCTCCTGGAAAAATCAAACTTGGCTGCAGCTACACATACCTTGGAAACATCCATACTAGATTATTGTCATGTGCTCTACATGGGGCTGCTCGTAAGCTTCAAGTGGTACAGAATACAGCAGCAAGAGTGATGACTGAGACTCACAAAAACAAAATGGATACACTGAATCAGTGCTGTTCCAGCTGCTTTGGTTGCAGTTTGTTTCCAGGCTCAGTTCAAAGTGTTGGTATTGACCTTAAAGGCCTTAAGTGACTTGGTTCCAGAGTGCTTGAAGGACAGCCTGCCCAGGTCTTGAGATCCATGCATGGGGCCTTCTTGCAGAGCCAACTTCATCTGAGGTGAGACAGTAGTTGGGATTTGTGGGAACACCTTTCAGCTGCTACCCTCAAACTCTGGAACTCCCTCCAGGTTGAGAAATGCCTGGATATTTGGGGGTGGAGCCTGAAGATGGCAGGGTTTGGGGAGGGGTCAGATTTCAATGGGATATAATGCCATGGAGCCCACATTCCAAAACGGTCATTTTCTCCAGGAGAACTGACCCCTGTCACCTGGAGAGCAGTTGTAGTCCTAGGAGGAGATCTCCAGCCATCACTTGGGGGTTGACCACCCTATACTGACACCATCCATACAGGCCTTCCAGAGTAAGCTGAAAATGTTTCTATTCTGGAAGGGTTTTGACTTAAAATAAATGGTGGCATCTGTTGTTTTTCTGGTCTTCCCTAATGTTACGTATATAACTGCTATTTTATCAATGTCAGTTTTAATCTTGAGTCTACTGGTTCTATAATTTAACTTGTCTTAATTTGTTAGCCACCTTGGGGACTTGTAATTGCCTGAAAGACAGAATAGAAATGACCATAATAAATAGAGAGTTGGCTAAATAAATAAATTAGGATCATTTTTATACATTCAGTATTTGAGTTCTACTTTTGATGTTGTTGGTAGAGCCATAATGAGACAAAGGAATTGCAAGGCACAATATCTTCTAAATCTGCCCTTGTTTTTCCCTGAGGCAGGCATGCCAGATAGATGAGCATCATGTTGCTGAATATGCAAACAAGCTCCCTCATTGTGTAATTAGGAGCATGCAGATTACAGCCACCCAGAGCATTGCTTAACTTTCATCAGGAGTTTTAACATCCAGTAGTGGGACTAAGCAGGAATAGAGTGAGAGTAAATTCACATGTGCATATGTATCAGACTATATCTTTGCATGTTTACCATTGCACTATCAGGTCATGACTTGCCTGAGTGCATCAGTTATCTTAGAGTGAGTATCACAGACTTGAGTTTTCATTATTGTGATATATTTACTGTATGCATTACAAAGGAACAGTCTGTTCCCCTCCCCTCTGATATTTGTGCATAGCTCTATCAGTGGCTACTAGCCATGGGCTGCGGTCACACACTAAATAATCCACTTCCAATGCACTTCCAATGCACTTTCCAACTGGATTTTGCCAGTTCACACAGTAAAATCCAGTTGGAAAGTGGATTGAAAGTGGATTATTTAGTGTGTGTGACCGCAGCCATGGTGACTAATGGAAACCTCCACTTCTGAATATCAGTGCCAGGTGGCAACATCAGGGGAAGGTGTCCCTGTTGTTGGACCTTCAGAGGAAATGGTTGGCCACTATGGTCGAATCTGCATTTGTCTTTCCCACCGGTGTCCCAGCCTTCTGACTCCATCTTTAAAAAAGCTGTCTACATTTGGTGTCGTTTTCACACCTCAACAGTGCTAGCATACTTTTGCATGTCTGCATATGTTTATTGCCCTTTCGTGGTGGCTCCACTGTCATTGCACCTCTGCACTGCTTTAAAAGAATCTTCTTCAAAAAACGTTCAAACAAGCATAGAGAAAGACGGCGTCACAGCAGCACGAAACTGATAAAAAATGCAAATGCAGATTCGACCGATGTGAGATAGGATGCTGAACTAGATGGACCACTGGTCTGATCCACCAGGGCTCTTCATATGTGCATTGGTTTAGTCTCATGGGGTGGAGTCCTTGCTTGGTTCTGGTTGTTAATTGGAACTGTAGACTAGGGTCGAATCTGCTTGAACAGATGTTTTTTGTTATTCAGCTAAAAAAAGAAGAAGCCCAGCATTGTGAGCTTGGCCCATCTCAGAACTTTACATAATTTACTGCAAGCCTAAAGAAAAGCTTTTAGAAAATCCTGTGCTCATTCTTGAATAGGGTATGGATGTTTGCTGAACAAAAGCTCATCAGTGCCGGGCTAGACCTATGCCTGCAGGAGAAACATTGCATGCAATTTAGCAAAAGTGTAACAACCAGAGCTCCCTGCTCAGGGAATGCCCCAGCAAACAGAAACAAGATTTGCAATTAATGCAGGACTGTACCTGAGCTAGGGTTGCCAACCT